AATGACAACAACCCCATGTTACATGCTCTGTGGCATTTTTGATAATAAAGAGCATGAAAGAAATATCTGTTATGATCTTCATGGTAGATCTTCCACAACACATTTAAGAACAGTTCTGCTCAAAGTTGAGAATGATAACAATAACACAAAAGTAACGCAAAAGAAAAGTTAATAAGTTACTTTTTTTAGAGAGTAACTAAGAAAAATAACTTTTAACAAGCAACAAGCTACTTTTTCTTCTTTTTTTTGATTATGAACGACTGCCCTGTCTCCTCTGTCCACCACGACACGCCCACTCTTAGAACTCACATTGTCATCCGTCACCAATTTTCTTTTCTGAATCTGTCCTTTTAGCTTGAAGAAAAAAATCTGCTGATCGCTATCAAGTCTGAGTGGAGCCTGCAGGGCATTTGATATGACCACATTTGATATGCCCACATTTCTGCTGACGGTAAAACAGGAGGAGCGCTTTCGGCGTACAAACTGTTCTGTTTTGGGTTTCCCAATCGGCACACTTGTGGAGATTAAAGCAGTTTATTACGTAGGGCGAGAGAAAATGCAATCTGATCCAACTCAGGCCAACATTACTGAGCGAGAGGGTGAAAGTCCACGGTGTTTGCAGCTGTAGAATAGGGTGACAAGGGGATATGGGGAAGAGTGAAGCCCCTGAACACACCCCTTTTGTCCATTTGCTGCTGTATCTCTTGTGGTACCCTCCATGATGAATCCTTACACTATTTTGTCTTGTTCCGAGATGCTTTCTGCCTTTTAAAACAAAAGTAGCACACTTGTAGACACTACCTTAAACCATTTAGCACAACTTCCAGAACGTCTTTTAGGAATAAAAAAAAAAAAAACATACATTAACTCCCCAACTCCATCTAGCGTTAGAAATGGAGAATTACATGCAGAGACCATTTATTTTCCTTGTGTATTTTATATTATATCATTATAAATTATAATCGTGTTACAAATTTTCCCCTTAAGAAATTATAGATTCCAAAGCATTAAATGTCAAGTAAATTGCATCATTATCATGTTAAAGGACCAACAATCATGTATTCATTAAGAGCTGTTTTTCATGTAAGCATTTGTCCACAGATGTGCTGCTGCTGTGCATGCAGATGTGCATGTGCTATTAAATTATGGTTCACTTGTTAAACTAGTTCACACATAGACACTTCTTTGTTACATATGAGGTATGCGCACGTCTCTCCCTCCTGTGTCTGCGGTGGTCATGGACATTATCCTGCTGTACTGAAATCCAAATGCGCTCTGTTCACGGCTGCATACACACATACCACACACTGTAAACAAATCGCAGTGTGGGTTGTAATACAGGTAATTAAATTATTCACGCTTCAGTTGTCTCAGAAATACCACACCCCCACTACTCCGCCTCATCTTCTTTCATTTTTTCCTCAAATATTTTTGGCTTCTCATCTCGTCATCTCCCCTCCCTGCTCTGTAGGTTTTTGGCTGATTCCCAAAGTCTAAAAATCAAGCGCTTGCTCTCTTTCACTTCTGGCTCTCTGTGGTATGAGTGTGTGGCTGTCGTGTGCCAAACTAGCCAACTAGCTTTGGCAGTAATTAGCCACCTGTGTATACTTGCTCATAACGCTGCATGAAGCCTATAAATGTCCATACATTATCACACTTGAGTGAAGAGCAGAGTTTCTGCGGCAGCTGTCTATACGCTAATCATCAGTGCAGCTAAAATGCAGCAGCAGTATACTGGGTGTAATGCTTTACAACAAAACCTATAAATAAAACTCCAAAGGGCCTCACTTATAGGACCACCTTCTACTTGCTATCAGTGAGAATCTCTGACACCCATGGATCACTGTTATATATTTAGTACATGTGAATTATCAAAGAAGTCTGCACACTCCTAATTCAATCACGCCATAGCACTTTGCACTCCACCTCTTTTGGCAACGTTCAGAGAAGTATTTGTACTTCAGGTATAACCTGCAGGTATCGTGTAGATGGATGGTGTATGAAGAATTTTCAGGGAGTGCCCATTCTAGTTTGAGATTGTGATGCTACGTTCGAAAAGATGAAATGACCACTTTCATTGACCTCTATAAATGAATACATTGAAATGTTATAATTAATACTACAAGCAGAGCAGGGTACAGAGTCAAATGGCACACTGGAATCGTGATTTCTAAGCTTCACTTTTTACAGCTACTGCTTCTTGTTTAGACATATTCCTCAAAACAAAACAGTTAGCGGCACTGAATTGCGATGACTGTAGTGGATGTGAGGATCCTACTTGAATGTCAGCAGGTGTTTCTATCTTGTTCTGAAGAGTCACACGTTATTTTGCCTTTTGGAGCATATTGATTTCATTAATATTTGAAGGGCTTGATATGGGGCAATCGGATAAAGGCTCTTGGCATGAAAATCTTTCTCAATTCCAAAACAACCCATATCAAAAGGTGAGGTGAGGTCTAAGGATTATGCCATTTAGTTTTTCTCAGCACCAATTCACAAATGAAGTCTCTAGATTAGCTTTAGCATTAACGTTATAGTAAGAGAGCCACTTTAGTTAACCAGACTTGTCCAGGGACCAACAACCAAAACCAAAACAATGTTTTGACTTTATTTGGGCTGTTCTGAGATTTAAATTACACATCCACATGGATTCACCCCTGTTTATTATTAATTATCTTGAATAATAGAATAATGCATGGATTGTTTGGTGTGTGCATATCCTCAGTGCTCTTATTTTTTTCTCCTGTAATTTATTCTGCAATGTGCCCAAGGATGACACTGACATTTCCTGGCAGGGGGTAAAATAAAAGTTATCTAATTCTGTCTTATTTGACAGTGCTAGTGATCTTCAGATCACGAGCATAAACTATCTCACCTCAGCTCCATTAGTGCCGTATATGGGATTTTGACACAACCAAAAACAAATGTGAGTCTATACAAATACAGTAAACAACTGGATGGTTCTGTGCATATAATGAGGTATAACAAGCCTTTATTGGTAGAAGTGAAGTTGGCTGGATAACACTGTGAACTTGTGTTTATGATCTCAAAGACTATTTTAAGTAAGCAATGAAAAGGGCCACATGAAATGACACAGAGGGCTGCACTTGGCCCGCAGGCCATAGTTTGGACATGCCTAACTTATACTTAAAAAATCAAATACTAAAATGTGGTAAGGTTTGATGCTAGTGACGGATTTAAATCAGTCTCCAGAAAACGAATGTAAGTTAATATGAAGCCTCTGAGAAGAATGGCAACCCGACAACGGTGTGTGGGTGTATTTGTGAGTGTAGGTGGGGGCATTAAGCAGGTATCAGGTTGTGTTTCCATCTGCTCCAGCGCAAGCTCTGATAGGCCTATTATTTAATCTGCTGGTCATTCTAGACGCCAGGCAAGAGCCGTTTAGGTTCAAATAATTGAATGCTTCAGTGTGGGAAATCGGTAAGGCTGTCTGTATAGGGCCTACGCCTCATATACAGCCAGTGCAAGACAAATGCACGCAGGAGCTGTCAGGGAGGCAACTGATTTATGAGACTTAATGAGCATGAAGCAAATAGTCTCACTGGATCTTGTTTTTATCATAAGTCGACAAAAACCTCCAAACACAAAAGTATTTTGCAAGCTTTTATCAAGTATTCACAAAGGAATCTGAGAAAGGAAAAAAGCTGATCATAAACAAATGCTTCAGTGTGCTAACCACAGCACAAGGAAGAAATGTCTTCTTCATTGTAAGGTTGCAAATGTTTTTAGTGGGCCTCCTGTCAAGTTTGTTAAAAATACAGATTGAAAACGGCAGCTATTGGAGAAATGGGGAAAATCCCACAACCCACAAGCTTGATTTTTTTCCCATCAATTATGGTCTTGTTATTCTATTTATTTATTCTGGAACCCTATTAGTCATGCTGCAGCCAAGACTGTTCTTCCTGGGGTCTATACAGTTAACATAATCAACAATGTGTTTTCCAGAGATCCGCTCTGCTTATGTAGACATTATAATATGAAATACATTTTTAGAAATACATTGTCCCAGATTTGTTTTAACTCACACCCACTTGTGGTACAAACAGTCATAATTACACTCCATACAGTAAACCACTGTAACTAGTCCGACATGATGAAATTTAGCAGTTACATAAACAGACCACTACTGTAAACTATCTTTTGGCAGTGCCATGAGATGACTGTTTACCCACAAAGACCAAAATGAGCTCTTAAATCAACCTAGCCTCCACCCTGAACTTCCAACCATCTATCATCCACCATATTGACTCAGTTTTGGAACATTCTCACAGTTGTTCTAGATGTTGCCTCCCTGGTCCCACGAATATTACGCTCGACCGAACACAACCTCTCTGACTGTTATCGCAGGGCCAGGGGTCATCAGGCCATCTGTCATCATTTGAGACCATTCTTTTTCAACATCCTTCCCGAGGACATTCCCAATGAGTATAGTGTCATCACTCAGCAACTCACTCATGAACCAGAGAGCGTGAACAGACTGGAGGTAGGACTATAAAGCCCAAAAACTACACCAACCTCACCAAGTATTAATAACAGATCTTTTTAGAATTTTTTTATTTATTTTTTTACTTTTTAAGTGACAAAATGACTCAAGAGACCCAATAGAAGAGTACATCAGTCGCTAATGAACATGAAGGTTTCCGTCAAGTTAAACTGCAGCCTTGGATTGTAAAACGTATTTGTAATTTGTAGGCTATAGTTAGTGGTTTGCTTTGGCATGGTCCTCTCACATTTACAAATTATTATAATTTGAGGGCAGTGAAAATTTTGTTTGACAAAGATGTAAAAAAATTGCTTAATCACTTTTTGGGAACATTGTGCCCCCCAAAAGTCACAGGATGTGCATAACCACTAACAATGCTGATAATGCGGGATTGTGTAACCAGCTATAAGCCAGTGAAGGAGTCATTCACCTTGTCTCAATTTTTTACTCTGATGCCTCAAAATCATCTCAAAAATGTTCTGTAAAAGATACTTACTATATGGCACACATTCGTATTGGACTTCCAGATATTTATATGTCCCAGGACAGGGGTCCGGGAACACGTCCGGACCGGCCACAACTGCACACTGAGTCCGATTGTTGCATCTAAAGAAAGAGAAAGAATCAGGATTGTAACAATGTTCATATCCAATCATCAAAAATACATTTAATTAATGTTTTCTTTAGACTGATGAGAGCACAATAGTTGTTTTCAGTTGTGATACAGAGCAGCCACAAGAGAAGTTGAGTGTCACGTGTTGCAGCAGCAGTGAGCACACTAACCTATGGCTTTAACAGTAGTTTGGCCCCGACTTCAAATAATTAATTCTCATCACCAAGGGAGCTCTCTCTTTTGACATGCTAAATGTGTTTCAGTATTTCATTAGCGCACATAAGGCAAGACACCTCTGGTTTGTAGGGAAAAAACATGTGAGGAAATTTTTTTCCTTAATATAGGGAATTAATATTAAGAAAATGTACAGGTATCCGATATCCGGCTGAACACTGACGCAGGCAAAGTCTCAATCTTAATCTTGTTAGATCTAAGTGCTGCCTTTGACACCGTCGACCATGAGATCCTCTTACAGAGATTAGAGGACTGGGTTGGAGTCGCTGGCACCGCCCTAAGTTGGTTTAGGTCTTACCTTGAGGACAGGAAGTACTTTGTGGAGATTGGAAACTGTGTCTCAGATCATATGGCCCTGACCTGTGGAGTCCCACAGGGGTCGATCCTGGGACCTCTTCTGTTCAATCTCTACATGCTGCCGTTAGGTCAATTAATACGCAGAAACAAAGTTTCCTATCATAACTATGCAGACGACACTCAGATCTATGTCTCACTGACTGCAGGAGAACATGGACCAGTGGACTCACTCCTTCACTGTATCCAACAGATCAGTGAGTGGATGCAAAACAACTTCCTTCAGCTAAACGCAGACAAAACTGAAATGATTGTCTTTGGTCCCCAGAAACAAAGAGAGAGCGTCATCTGTCACCTACAGTCTCTCTCCCTAAAACCTTCAAACAAGGTCAGAAATCTAGGGGTAATACTGGACTCAGACTTAAATTTTAATAGAGCCACATCAAATCAGTAACATCAGCAGCTTTTTACCATCTAAAAAACATTGCCAGGATCAAAAACATAGTGTCTAAAGCAGACTTGGAGATTCTTATCCATGCATTTGTCTCCAGTAGGTTAGACTACTGCAATGGCCTGCTCACAGGTCTGTCCAAACAGGCTGTAAAACAGCTGCAGTACATTCAAAATGCAGCAGCTCGAGTCCTGACTAGAACCAGGAAGTACGACCATATTAGTCCGGTCCTCAGGTCTCTGCACTGGCTTCCTGTGGCTCAGAGAATAGACTTTAAAACAGCTCTGCTTGTGTACAAGTCTCTCCATGGCCTCGCACCAAAATATATTAGTGACATGTTAGTCCCATATGAACCAGCCCGGACTCTGAGGAGCACAGGGACTGGACTCCTGTTAGTGCCCAGAGTCAGAACTAAACATGGGGAGGCTGCTTTTCAGATTCATGCTGCTAAAATCTGGAACAGTCTTCCTGGAGATGTGAGACAGGCCTCCTCTCTGACAATGTTTAAAACCAGGTTAAAGACAGTTCTGTTTAGCTGTGCATACAACTGAGGGATTTTATATTTGTATCTTTCTTTTTAATGTTCTGTGATTATTTATGATTTTAATGCTTTCTTGTTTTGTTCAGCACTTTGAATTGCCTTGTGTATGAATTGTGCTATATAAATAAACTTGCCTTGCCTTGCCTTGCCAGGTAACATCCTTCCTCCAAAAGAATCTTCCACCCTGCAACTATATGTTATCCCAGGCTACCCAGACAGAGGAGAATAATGCATCCAGCTTTTACAACGCTTTTCTGGACACTCAAAGAGAGTTGACATTAACTCACTCACAGGTGGTGCCACAGGTGCCCGGGGGCAGACTCACAGAAGTGAAACTACTAATCTCTGCCATCGAGACAACCATAAACAATCATTCACACAGACTCTCATCAGGCAATGTAGGTGTCTTGTCTAAGGACACAACGACAGAAGCAATCACCTCATGCAATGTGGCAACTGGAGTTCCCATATGTCTCCCATCATAGTAACAAACCAGGCCCTTCCCTGCCCAAAGAAGAAGAATATATTCATAAATAGTATTATTGTCGAGTGTTAGTTTGAGTTTGATAGCCCCAAAGAGACAGTTGCAGTTATGGAGCTCTCCCTTGTTCAGAATTCCATTACTGCAGGCTAAGGGTATTGTTTAAATGAGTATCTTATTCATAACACTGCTTTGTTCCACCATACAATATATATAAATAAATAAATATACATATACATATAATTACAATGTAGAACAACAATATAGATGTATAATTACACTTGTGTGACAATTCTTTCATAATCAAAGCTAATTGAGAGCGAGACAATATGGCACATGCTGTAAATTAACCAGACAGACACATGTAGTAAGGTACACCACAAGCTTGCACACAGTGATGCTTTATTTCTTCAGCACTCCTAGTTGCGATTATTAATTATTGAAACAAGCCAGGACAAATACATTTTGTGGATGGATTGCATAATTGGAATTAATAGCTATATTCTGGGCGGTATTATGAAACTATTCCTCATCTCGTCGGAATATATTCTTTCAATTATTACTCCCCTCCACTCGCTCCTCTCAGTGCACCTGTCAAACAGCGACATTTACATTAAAAACATTCCCCTTCTCCCATTGAGATATTTTTAATGAGCCGAACGCCAAAGCCCTCAAGTTTCTCCTTCTCACTGTATCATTCACCAATTTGCATAATGAAATATGTATAGGAGCTAATTTATTTTTTTGTCTTACATTTGCAGTACTAATATGAACTTGAGTTTAGAGCGCAGTCCGGTGTCAGTTTCTGCCCAGGACTCAGGCGATGGCTTATGACCATATTCTGAAAAAACAATCTCAGAGCTGCGTTGTCATGACTGTCATATTCTAATAACAATGGCCGCCGGTCTTCTTCTTCTCGCGCCTCTGTGCCTTTTAATTTCTTGCCCGGGCGCCTCCATCATCAGTCACCTGTCACGAGGCTGCCATCATGGGCTGGGGGCAGCACAGGATGACACTGTGCCACTACTTTGCCCATAACAGCCATGGGAGCATCATTGTGTGGCTCTCAGTGGGGAATCAGAGCACACGAGCCAGTCGGATGACCTGGATTTGAAGTTAGAAGATAGAAATGAAACTGTTCGAGGGAAAAGGCTACTGTAGCAATGGGCTGAATAAAGTGTTGTATATGATCGTGGGGAAAACAAAGAAACAATAATCTAAAGATATAAAATGCTAAATTTCTCTTTTTAGGGAATTAATGTAATATGCACACAGAGGTCAAATAGTCATTACAATTACTAATTTTGTAAAACAAAAAACAGCATAAAAGACAGCTACATCTCACATAAAAAATCTGGCAACCTAAATTAGAATCGTTCTGCCCTCTGATTGGATAATCAGCTTGAAAACAATTAAAATAATAGACATCATGTCCAATGTGTTAAGAATAACTCAGATTTAAACTTTTGTTCTGTCGGTATTGCACTAGTAATGTGTCTGTTTTAGGTCCATGGGACCCTCTTGAAAATTAGAAGCTGCATCTCAAGGGGCTTTCCCAAATAAATCGAGTGTCTTTTTTTGCTTCTCTTTCACTCTACCGTTGCTTTTTGCTCCTGTCTTCTTGACATCCTACTTGTCAGGTCACACCATCACTGTCCAATCAATGGAAAATCGGAGTTTAAAAACCTGAACTCGGTTCCATACAATTTAAAAAAGTCTCATCCCTTTTTGCTGACAATCATCACCATACCAACATGCTTGCACATCTCTTTTCCAACTTCTGTTGAAAATATAATGTGTGTTATATTGTACAAGGAGCTGATACATAATTCATGAGAGCGCTCTGCAACAAATCCTTTATTGATTTATTCCATAATGTAGTCACATCACACACCTCAAAGTGTGAATCCGCAAGTGGAGGAATCATTTATGACATCAGGTTATCATTTTCATGATTGGAACGAAGAAAAATATCCATATATTCAAATCCTTACTTTATTACAAGTAATGCTATGAAATATGGTCGAGGCATAGTAATATCTTTTAACACATTGTACCTGACTTATTATGTTTAACATTTTTAAACATATACTGTGCGTTTAATATAGAGTCATGTGACTGAAATCCAGTGGACAGTGACCAGAGAAAGGGGCTGATCACCTTTTCCCTTATTAAAATAAAATAATGTTGAAGACATGCCAAAGTAAAATGCTAGAAAGAAATTATAGTTTTAAAAATGTATTTGATTAATATATTTTATTGTCTGAAGTCAATGTGAGTAGAATCAACTGATCCAAAACGAAGATAATCGGTATCTGTGAACACCTTTAGTGAAGATGTCAATACTAATAATGATTGAAATCATAGTTTCAATATCAAAAAATCCATGTTTATTTATTAGTAATATTTAGTGGTACGACTTTAATTTGGATAGAGTATTCACATAGTCTATCGTTTAATGCTCTCTAAAATTAATATTTAGTCTGTTTGTTTGCCAAAATAACCACATACAAATCGGCAACTTTAGGTGTTTCTAAATTCTTTTCTGTTGATTACGATATATATTATTTCAAAGAGCACCCACTGTCTTCATTTCAGCTGTAGCCTGTTCATCCACGTTTATACGCAGACACAGACAAGAGGAGGACAAATGCAAATAGTTTAGGAGAAATATCATGAACTAACTTTTCTAAGGTTGGGGATTCAGTAGAGGACTGTGTTTATCTGCACTTCACAATTATACCAAAACAGCCTCCTATGTGGGGGACTTTCACAGCTGACTCATGCAACACAGAAGGTTATTGAAATCTATTTTAAACAGGAGCCACAGTCCAAAGACTTGACATAATCTTTCTGCTATCACTGTCTCTTTCACTTTCACGCCTATTTTTGGTGTGCCATTCTGTTTTCTCCTTGTTTCACTCTCTAAAGCCCAGATAATAAACCCATTTCTCGTCTGCATTTGTCTCCACCGTTTCCACGCAGGAATTAT